AAAGATTAGATTTTCGTATAAATGCACATAACAAATACGAGCATCGTAATAACTTACCTATCCATCATCATAACTAAAAAAATAACCTAGTCTAAACATTAATATTAGATTTTCATAATCAAATAAGATATAAACGTTCAAAGTTTACAACAACATAGAATGAATGTTCACATAAATAGAAAAGAAAAAAAAAAAAAAAAAAACACCAGCCCCCTCTGGTTGGAGAGCATCATCAAACACATAATGAAAATCATAATCTTGCTACTCATCCTCTTCCCCGCCCTCCACATCCATGTCGACAAGCCTCATATGTCGTTTGCCCCGATGATCAAAACTCTCTGTCAGGCATGCTAAACCATCTGCGTCCATCTGTTAGCCTTCAAGCATTTTTCAAAGCTTTTAATTCATGATGCTGACCTGCCTGACAAGCTCGTCATGTTGAGCTTGTAATGATCTAGGGCCACCAACACCAACAAGAGAGCGCTCAACCTTAAAAACAATGCCCTTAGAACCTAGGTTGCACACCCTCTTGTTCTTCCCCGCTGCCTGCATCCATAGCTCAAAATCGGATTGATCGGTGGTAGACTAGCTATCAATGCTGCTGACGGATAGTCAGGTTTGGCACGTCATCTCTTTTGCCTCTCTCAAAGTTGCTCATACTTCTCCTTCTTAATTAAAATAAAAAAATTAATTGTTATTGCAAATAATAATAGCCACAAAAAAAAAATCAAATTTTTGTACTTGTATTGATACAACGAGAGTGATCGGAGACTTGCTATTGATTGCTAGGGTGTCGATGCGTTGGGACATGAACCACTACAATGTATGGCTCTCAGTGAAGTTGTAGTGAAGTTGTTTGGTCTGTGTACATTAGATAATGTTAAATAGCACATAAATACATAAATATTTAAGTTTTTGAATTTTGAGATAATCCTTCAATGTGAAGTATAGCCCCTTTGGCTCTTTCTCTCATCTTATTATGTTAGTTTGTCTACCTCTGGCTTTTATGTTTTTTTAATTTTGGAGTCGCAAGACTGTCTAATAATTCTCTTAAGATTTTTCTTTTCAAAAGAGCCATCTTACTTGAACCGTCGGAACGATTCAAAGAAGAGGAGAGATCGAAAACTAGATAAATAAGATGAAAACTAGGAATATGAATTTAAAAAGAATCATGGAGTCAAGGATGCACATCTAAACAAGATCGGATCAAGACACTTTAAAACGAATATTTACGAAAAAACACCTATATATGCTTTTAAAGTAAACAAACAACCAAATCTGTAAGTTTCTATTGGGTTCAAAAGCACTTTTAAAGAGGTGTGTCCCATTTGGTTAATTATATCTTGGGAGATGCCCGATAATACTCTCGATAAAAAAAATTCTATTAACATTCAAATGACAACTAGTAATAGGTGTTACAAAGGATGGTTATTTCACAGGAGCATCTCAATGCTTTCAAAGTTTGAGTTGTGTCACGGGATAAGAGAGCGGGTCTCTCACAATCTCATAAGGATGGTATTTCTACTTTTTGTGAGGATCATCAACAAAATCAAATGATAGTTACGTACCTGAATTAAAATCCCTATTGTCCTATCAGCAAAATCAACAACCTCTTTTATACTGGGAAATATATAATGTAGTAAGACTTAACAAACAATTATATTTAATGAACAAAAATAAGTAATATATGTGTTAAAAGTCATTTTTTTACTGTTTCCACACACACACACACACACACACACACACACACACACACACACACACACACACAC